AAACAGAAAACAAGGTTCCTTCATCCCAGGAGAACAGCCCTTTCCCACAAGCTGGGTGAGCGTGGGAATAAAACCTGCCCAACCCGCCCCAGATGATCAGGAGCCCAGTGGGCGCTGCTCAGTGCAACCCTAGCGCTTCGTCCCTGGCCCCCTCTGGATGAGGTGGTCTCCTTCTCTGAAATCAGAGGGACAAAACTGAGGCAGGGAGAAAGACTTTGGCGCTAGGATCCATGCGGAGAAAGCTGCCCCAGCCGCCCCGGCCGCAGGATCCGGCCCTCGGAGGGGGCTGGGTGGGAAGGAGCAGGGAGCTGGGCTGCAAGGCGCAGGATCGCTCCCTTTAACTTTCAGTTCCTTCGAGTTATCCAGTTCTGTGAATGGTGTTCACCGTTTTCCGCCTCGTATCCAGTAGGATTTAGTGAAGAGGATAATGATGCCAAAGACTTGATGGCTGGGGAGGGAGGGAGGAAAGGGAGCGGGGGGGGAGGGAGGGAGGGAAACAGAGCGGGAGGGAGGTGGAATTTCATTTCTTCCACTAAAGCGTTTGCGGAGACTTCAAGGTATAATCTATCCCAGATCCTTTCCCAGAGAGAAACTTGGCGATCACGTTTCCACATGATGCTCACGTTTGGTGCTCTTCAATTATCCCTCCCCACAAAGATAGGTGGCGTGTGTTTCAGGGTCTCTCCTCTCTCTCCTACAGAAAAGAAAAAGAAAAAAATGTCATTAGAAGAGGCGTAACACGTCAGCCCGTCCCCAGGTTTGTGTTTCCTGGAGTGGCAGAAAGAGATCAGTCCTAACCTGCCCAGCAGGAATAACGGTCCTTCCGACAACTCTTTTGCAAGGCTTTTTACCATTTCTCCAGGAGCTGCATCTCCCCGCACCTTTTCTCCTCCACTTCGCGGCTTCTTCATGCTTTTTCTCCTCCCCATTTCTGGCCAAAACTACAACCAAGACTTCGCAGGTAGGTTCAGGATTTAATTTCATTTTACTTCTCTCCCCCCACCCCCACCCCCTCAGCCCTTCTGGGTGCCCTGTCTCCTGTGTGGTACGTGGATTTCGAGGCTGTGGGGGGGGGTTTCTGCAGCTTGTTTGTAGCAGGGGAATCTCATTCTGGACTGAAAGCCAAAGTCACTTGGCATCAATTGCAAGAGGGGTTAGTTCTTCCATGGCAGACCCTGGGCTGCTGGTGTCCAGCACAGCCCACCTCCACCACCTGCCCAGCCAGGTACAAGAGGTGTCCTTTGCAAATCTGATACTGAAGTTCCTGAGCAAGGACAGGGATTTTATTCCCCTTTCCAAACAACAAAAAATCCCTCCCTGCTCTTCTGGTTCAGGATTCACACACAGTCAGCTTAAAGTTTGCATGTACCTGTTAATGGCTTGCACACTCTGAGCAGGGCTGGACAGGAATTTTTTTTAGCTGGAGCCTGCTTTAGGACTCCCAGAAAAGCTGTGTGTTTCCCCAGGCAGAAAGTTTGCTGTTTTGTCTGCCTGGCAAGTTTCATTTCTTGATTTTATTTCGTGAGACGGGGTGAAGAAACACCTTAGGTTCTGGGATCCTAAAGAAAGAAGTGAAAGTAGGGACTGGAACTTAAAAGTCGTTTACCAAAAATGATATTAACAGTCATGTTCCTTTGGGAAGAAAGCCATTCTCCAACATCAGAAATTGCCAACTTTTCTTCCTGAGTGCTAAGGAGCAGGGCAGGCACTGAACTGCATTTCAGACAATTCACCATTGGTGCTTTTGCATTATTACGCCAGTTGCCGAGAAAAGCTCCCAGGTCCTGGCTTTTCTGAATTTGTTTCTCTCTCACCTACTTTCTTCTGCCCTGTCTCTCTGATGCTGCAGACGTTGCAAACTTCCCAGTCAGAAATAACTGTTCAATATAAAGTTTATTGCACATTTTCTCAGTCTGTCCTTGCCTCTCACACCCCACTCCCCTGCACAGATCTGCCCCTGTACTTAGTCAATATGGATTCAGATTGCAGCACAGTGAGTAAACAGGCTCATCCTGTGCTCCATCTGCATGTCCACACACACTTACCTGTACAGGGAATTGTTTTAGCCGACCTTGTTTTAGGACCAAGGGGCTCTGGAAGGAGAGCTGAGGCAAAATAAAAGGCGGAGGAGCAGCCCAGTGAACTGATCACTCTTGCTGGCATTCTCTCTTCAGGTCAGAATGCAAAATAAAAGCTAAATCCACTTGGGTTCAGAAAAAAAGGTTGAGACAGGTACTCAGTTTCTAGGTTTTGTGCAAAGCTGAGGCTATAGGAGTAGACAATAGATGCTGAGGTTAGGCTGGATTTTGTTCAGAAGAGCAAGGGTTAATTGCCCTTGTTTTACAGTTTGCATCTGTTACATCTTTTATAGCCCCCTGTTTAAACTAATCCTCGAGTCAAAGCATCTTTAAAGCTACAGCATCTTCTTCAAGATGGACTGAGTTGCAGGAGCCTTGTGTCAGGCAAACCAAGTGCTCCTCC